TTTTTTTTTTTTTTTTTGGCGTTTCAGACATGGATTTATAAATGCTTTTCAACATGTGAAGTTTGGAAAATGAGCGGACATCACCTTGTTTTCAAAACCTGAAGTTTTTCTCAGGACTGAAGTCGAAATCATAACTGCCCCAGAGGGAAAAGAGAACTTTTCCCACTTTAATTGTTCATCTGTGTCAGAAAGTCCAGTATCCCTGAGATAGGAACCACTGTAATAAGAAGGGAATGAACAGGTTCCTCCCAAAGGAAGATCATTTCTTGCTGAATTATGCCTACTGCCCTGATCATCAGGTATAAACTTTGCATCTTCCAACCTAATGCTTGGCAGCACCAAGACGTTTTAGTAATGGTTCATCATAAACCCAACGTTCTCCAACTTCATGAAATAACCTTGTCTCCCACTGAATTTCCTTTTCCTTCCTTTCTCGGGCTTCTGCTCTTTGTCTTTCTTCAATCCTGTGCTTTGCTTCAGTTGCTGCGTCAATGTCTCTGATTTTTAAGTTGAAAGTGACATCCTTCCAAAGGCTGCGGGATTCATACTCGTTCTGATCTTCCAACTTCCTCACTTTCTTCTTGATTATAGGCAACTTCTTGGTATCTACAAAGACTGTATTTTCCCCTGTTGCATATTTTGCATACATCACACCATTCCATTCCCCTTCAGTTGAGCAAAAAGACTTCTTGTCATTTGGAGAAAAAATCTCAGCAGTAATTCTGTGCTTCTTGCCCCCATAGAAGGGTTTAGTGTGGAAGATGATATTTGCACTATAGCCTGTTTTGGAACAATTAATATTGCAGTCTCCTCCTAATTCCACCCAGGGCACTGTGAGGATAGACCTTCCATAGCCATTGGGGAATGTGAGAATGTAATGTTCATCATAGTCTAGACATGAGACACAGCCCTGCCCTATGTTTGCACCCCAATTGACATCCCAAGGAATTTTGATTTGGTCCAGATATGAGCATTGAATCGTATCTTGTTAAAACACTCAGCATAAAAGGCTGAAATGGGTGGATGATGGGAAACCTGCTCAGCCACGAATGTTACACTGTTTTTGGAAACCCAGGGAACTGGTCCTTCTGAAACTAGTTCTGTGTTCTCTTCTGTATCATTTGGTAATGTCCAATGACACTGAAAGATCTCGCCCAAAATGGGATTGTATGGCTTTTTGGCAACTGATCCTTTCCTTCCTGCATGAAAGGCTGAGAGGTACCATTTCACAACCTGAACTATTCGATCCTTGGGATCCTTGTGGTCACTAATGCTCACAAACAGGTCCGGATGTGCAAAAAAGTCTGCATACATTTCTGAAAGAGATCTTCTTTCAAGAATAAATGTTGGAAGAACTACCTTAGTAAGATCCATCCCAAGCCTAATCTGTGACAAGAGATGCATAATAATGCTCTTGTGCTCCTCCGCGGACCCTGCCTCCGCATCATCAACTCTAGCGTCATGTAAGTCAAAAAGGTCAGCATCACTTGTTCCATTGGACATGGAAGAATTAAGTGATTCTGTAGTATCTGGGCATTTTAGACTATTTCCTGAGCTGCTGTGTATCAGGACCGAGGCAGATCCAGAAGAATCTATTAAGCGCTTTGGGGATGAGCCACTTTGACGGAATTCATCGGCATCATAAAATTCATCTTCACTGCTAGAGTAAGAGAACTCTGGGACTGTATTTGGAGACAAGTTCACATGGCTTGGAGAAGTTAGACTGCTACTTGGTGGTGAATGGCCCTGCCTGTACTATTTGGTGTAGGAGTCTGATGATGTCCCAAGGTAGCCAACACAGGTCCAACTGGTAGGGAAGATGGACGTTGCTCTGACTTACACAACTGGACAGGTTCTGGAGGTAATACAGTCTGGGAAGGCATTGTGCTGATCACAGGTTCCAAAGGACTGGGTTGATATATTGCATCTACAGGATTAATAGTACTTATTCCATCTGCGTGTTTCTCCACATTACTCTGGTCTTTAGCAATCTGCAGCAACACAATGCAGTGTTTAATTGATTCTACCATGCTATTTGTTGTCTCTTTGAGCATTTCAATTTTCTTTCTTTGTTCATCTTCTTTGCAATTTTGAAGCTTGTCATCAAAAAGCTTTAATTGTTCAATCCAGATTTGAAGGTAAGCATCAGCTTCTGTAAGTTTTTTGTCAAAGTCTTGGACACTAGGAATAAATCCTGAATCCAAACCTTGAAGCTGAAGAGTGTGTCGAAGAATTGTTTCTTCTAAGGCATGGATCCACTTTTCTTGCTCATCAGCATTACGAGCCTGGAAATGGAAGGTTTTCTGATCAACAGTTATTGTGAAGGTGCTGTCGTCCTCATCGTCTATACCAATCACAGCTCCTCTGAGTCTAACACATCCTCTGCGAGAGCCTCTGATCATTTTGTCCTTGGACGTGTAATAGGAGAGCAGTCCTGCATTGTAGTCCAGCATGAACCAACGGTACTGCTAGCCCTTCATCACATTAGTCCATTTGCTCAGCAGACCTTCCATGATGGACGCCATCTTAGGAGCCGCCAATGACAACAAACGCGTAACAGCTTTAAGAAAAAATCTATAGTAAGAAAAGTAAAGAATGATAATACATTTAATTCTGAGATTGGATTCTACCTTAATATATTATTTTTAAAATAATAAACTACTAACTCCTTGTGACTCAGTATATTTATCCAGCTGTAAAATGGGAATAAAATGCTTGAGTCAATGGTCTGTGCATAATATTTTAAATAAGAATGTAATAGAGAAGTTATCTTGCACTCCAGTACATATGATTAAGTTCAGAACCAGAGATATTTAACCAGGGTGCAGGGTGACTCTTCTCTTTTTCCAACAGGAACATCTTTTGTCTTGCTTACCACCTTCCACGGACAGCGGACCCTTCTTCTTCCCCCACTTGTTACTGTGGCGGCCCCAACTCCTTTCTTCTCTAGATAAGCCTTACTCTTTGTGTCCCTGCCCCTGTGGAGTGGGCTATGATCTTCCTATCTGGTGCTACCATTAAGCTCCATATCAATCCTAACTCTTCCTAGACTGACTTTATGCATTCACTGAAGTTTCCAGTACCTGTTTCTGCCCAGCCCTTCTCCCATTGTTTCAAGTAGTGAGTAGGTTCACAGTCACATCACAACAGCAAAAGCTCTGGTGGCTATGCAAGTCAGCTCAGTAACTAAATAAGACATACACATAGTTTATCAGATTAACATTTTATACCACAGAATGTGTGTTAATGGGCAGCATGCTAATTAGTCATCAAAAGTAAACTATTTACAGGTATTGATCGACTTACCACCTATGCAGCTTACGACCATTCGACTTTACGACCATGATCGCTAGCCATGGCTGCTCCACGTCTAGCAGCACAAACGTTGCCCAGCTGGGCGTATGACAGTGCAGACCAGCTTCCGGCAGCACTACCATCTCCGCGTGCACCATTTCAACTGTACATATAGCCTACTCAACTTACGACCAAATTGTGTTACGACGGTCCGCAGTCCCGACCATGGTCGTAAGTCGAGCACTAGCTGTATGTGTTGTTCTTCCATGATGTTGAACAATTAATCATAAGCATTGAACAAGTAAATGGGACCTGGGGGTCTGATATGGTTTGGCTGTGTGTCCTCACCCAAATCACATCTTGAATTTTACTCCGATAATTCCCACATGTTGTGGAAGGGAACTGGTGGGAGACAGTTGAATCATGGAGGCAGTTTCTCACATACTGTTCTTGTGGTAGTGAATAAGTCTCATGAGATCTGATGGTTTTATCAAGGGTTTCTGTTTTGCATCTTCCTAATTCTCTCTTTGCTTGCTGCCATCCATGTAAGATGGGACTTGCTCCTCCTTGCCTTTTGTTATTATTGTGAGGCTTCCCCAGCCACATGGAACTGTAAGTCGAAGTCAACCTCTTTCTTCTGTAAATTGCCCGTTCTTGAGTATGTCTTTATCAGCAGCAAGAAAACAGACTAAACTAGTAAACTACTGCCAGAAGAGTGGAGTGTTGCTGAAAAGACACCTGAAAATGTGGAAGTGAGTTTGGAACTGGGTAACAGGCAGAGGCTGGAAGATTTTAGAGAGCTCGGAAGAAGACAGAAAAATGTGGGAAAGTCTGGACGTTCCTAGAAAACTGTTGAATGGCTTTGGCCAAAAGCCTGATAGCAATATGGACAATAAGGTCCAGGGCTGAGGTGGTCTCAGAAGGAGATGAGGAACTTGTTGGGAACTGGAGCAAAGGTGACTCTTGTTATGTTTGAGCAAAGAGACTGGCAGCATTTTGCTCCTCCCCTAGAGATTTGTGGAACTTTGAACTTGAGAGAGATGATTTATAGAATCTGGTGAAAGAAATTTCTAAGCAGCAAAGCATTCAAGAGGTGACTTAGCTGCTATTAAAGATATTCAGTTTTAAAAGGGAAACAGAGTATAAAAGTTTGAACAATTTGCAGCCTGACAATGTGATAGAAATGAAATTCCATTTTTTTATTGCATTTTAGGTTTTGAGGTACATGTGAAGAACATGCAAGATTGTTGCATAGGTACACACATGGCCGTGTGATTTGCTGCATTCCTTCCCATCACCTATATCTGGCATTTCTCCCCATGCTATCTCTCCCCAACTCCCCCCCGCCGCTGTCCCTCCCCTATTTCCCATTGACAGACTCCAGTGTGTGATACTCCCTTCCCTGTGTCCATGTGCTCTCATTGTTCAGTACCCGTCTATGAGTAAGAACATGCGGTGTTTCATTTTCTGTTCTTGTGTCAGTTTGCTGAGAATGATGGTTTCCAGGTTCATCCATGTCACTACAAAGGATCCAAACTCATCGTTTTTGATGGCTGCATAATATTCCATGGTGTATATGTGCCACATTTTCCCTATCCAGTCTATCGTCGATAGGCATTTGGGTTGGTTCCAGGTCTTTGCTATTGTAAACTGTGCTGCCATGAACATTCGTGTGCATGTGTCCTTATAGTAGAATGATTTATAATCCTTTGGATATATACTCAGTAATGGGATTGCTGGGTCAAATGGAATTTCTATATCTAGGTCCTTGAAGAATCACCACACTGTCTTCCACGATGGTTGAACTAATTTACACTCCCACCAACAGTGTAAAAGTGTTCCTATTTCTCCACACCCTCTCCAGCATCTGTTGTCTCCAGATTTTTTAATGATCACCATTCTAACTGGTGTGAGATGGTATCTCAATGCAGTTTTGATTTGCATTTCTCTAATGACCAGTGATGATGAGCATTTTTTCATGTTTGTTGGCCTCATGTATGTCTTCTTTTGTAAAGTGTCTGTTCATATCCTTCACCCACTTTTGAATGGGCTTGTTTGTTTGTTTCTTATAAATCTGTTTTAGTTCTTTGTAGATTCTGGATATCAGTTCTTTGTCAGATGGGTAGACTGCAAAAAGTTTCTCCCATTATGTTAGTTGTGGATTCATTGTAATGACTGTTTCTTTTGCTGTGCAGATGCTGTGGAGTTTGATTAGGTCTCATTTGGCTATTTTGGCTTTTGTTGCCAATGCTTTTGGTGTTTTGGTCATGAAGTCCTTGCCTAAGCCTATGTCCTGAATGGTTTTGCCTAGATTTTCTTCTAGGGCTTTTATGGTGTTAGGTCTTATGTTTAAGTCTTTAATCCATCTGGAGTTAATTTTAGTGTAAGGTGTCAGGAAGAGGTCCAGTTTCTGCTTTCTGCACATGGCTAGCCACTTTTCCCAACACCACTTATTAAACAGGGAATCCTTTCCCCATTGCTTGTTTTTGTCAGTTTTGTCAAAGATCGGATGGTTGCAGATGTTTTGTGTTGCCTCTGAGGCCTCTGTTCTGTTCCATTGGTCTATATCTCTGTTTTCGTACCTGTACCATGCTGTTTTGACTACTGTAGCCTTGTAGTATAGTTTGAAGTCCGGTAGTGTGATGCCTCCCGCTTTGTTCTTTTTGCTTACAATTGACTTGGCTTTGCGGGCTCTCTTTTGGTTCCATATGAAGTTTAAGGTGGTTTTTTTCCAGTTCTGTAAAGAAGGTCATTTGTAGCTTGATGGGGATAGCACTGAATCTGTAAATTACTTTGGCGCTATGGCCATTTTCACGATACTGATTCTTCCTAACCATGAACATGGAATGTTTCTCCATTTGTTTGTGTCCTCTCTTATTTCATTGAGCAGTGGCTTGTAGTTCTCCTTGAAGAGGTCCTTTACGTTCTTTGTTAGTTGTATTTCTAGGTATTTTATTCTCTTTGTACCAATTGTGAATGGGAGTTCATTCTTGTTTTGGCTCTCTTTAAGTCTGTTATTGGTGTATAGGAATGATTGTGATTTCTGCAAATTGATTTTGTATCCTGAGACTTTGCTGAAGTTGCTTATCAGTTTCAGGAGATTTTGGGCTGAGATGATGGGATCTTCTAGATCTACAATCATGTCATCTGCAAATAGAGAAAATTTGACTTCCTCCTTTCCTATTTAAATACCCTTTATTTCTTTTTCTTGCCTGATTGCTCTGGCTAGAACTTCCAGTACTTTATTGAATAGAAGTGATTAGAGAGAGCATCCTCGTCTAGTGCCAGATTTCAAAGGGAATGCTTCCAGCTTTTGCCGAATAAGTATGATACTGGCTGTTGGTTTGTCATTAATAGCTTTTATTATTTTGAGATATGTTCAGTCAATATCTAGTTTATTGAGAGTTTTTAGCCTAAAGTGTTGTTGAATTTTGTCGAAGGCCTTCTCTGTATCTATTGAGATAATCATGTGGTTTTTGTCTTTGGTTCTGTTTATGTGGTGAATTATGTTTATAGACTTGTGTATGTTGAATCAGCCTTGCATCCCTGGGATGAATCCTACTTGATCATGGTGGATAAGCTTTTTGATGTGCTGTTGCAATCGGTTTGTCAGTATTTTATTGAAGACTTTTGCATCTATGTTCATCATGGATATTGGCCTGAAGTTTTCTTTTCTTGCTGAGTCTCTGCTGGGTTTTCTTATGAGGATGATGTTGGTCTCATAAAATGATTTGGGAAGGATACCCTCTTTTTGGATTGTTTGGAATCATTTCAGAAGGAATGGTACCAGCTCTTCTTTGCATGTCTTGTAGGATTCGGCTGTGAACCCATCTGGGCCTGGGCTTTTTTTGGGTGGTAGGCTCTTAATTGCTGCCTCAACTTCAGACCTTGTTATTCGTCTATTCAGGGTTTCGACTTCTTCCTGGTTTAGGCTTGGGAGGAGGCAAGTGTCCAGGAATTTACCCATTTCTTCCAGATTTATAGTTAATGTGCACAGAATTGTTTGTAATAATCTCTGATGATGGTGTGAATTTCTGTGGAATCTGTGGTGATATCCCCTTTATCGTTTTTTATTGCATCTATTTGATTACTCTCTCATTTATTTTTTATTAATCTGGCTAGTGGTCTATTTTGTTGATCTTTTTGAAAAACCAGCTCCTGGATTTATTTAGTTTTTGAAGGGTTTTTTGTGTCTCTACCTCCTTCAGTTCTGCTCTGATCTTAGTTATTT